GAATTAATGATACTGGATTTAAACGGCAAAAAACGTACAGCGCAAAGAAAACATTTGATATTAAAATTAAATATACCATATTTTAAGGGGAGAAAATATATATCAAAGAAAGTAAATGTCGTTTTTACTTTACACCGATACTGAGGTAGTGCATGACAGATAGAAACCTACACATAGTAGTACTGCTATATTGCACAGCCCCTCTGCTTCTCAGCTGCCTAGGAGGACCATTTAAGCAGACCACGGATCCACAGCATTTAAATGCCTGCAGTGCATAGGATGCAAGACCGCGTCCCTTGGATGGGCTGAAAAAATGCATGTTCAAAATCAAACGCAACCATCCGAAGGCGAAAACTTACAAGAAGAAAATATGATCCCGAAGAACGGGGTTGACTCCAAGAGTGGAAGCTTTTAGCACCACGTCGATTATTACATTTAATGACTCCGGATTTTAACGGCTAAACCGTACAATGTAAAGAAAGAAAAGTCCATTTGTTTCTTTACACCGATACTGCGGTAATGTAAGGCAGATGAAAATCTTGCATCTAACGGTACTGCAATATTGCTCCGTTCCCATGCTTCTAATCTAGTCAAAGATTTCAATACCGAAAACGTTTGCCGAAGTCTATTTCGCTCTTCTGTTGGTGTGATACGAAAAATAAAACATAAAACACTTTTATTTATTTATTGAGGTTACTTACAGTGTGAATGTCTTGCCATTAAAGTTCCTATTAAAATAATTGGCAAACTTCTGTAATCATATCATTCACTTAAACAACGTACAAATCTCCAAATTAATTCTATCATAAGGCAAGTAATTTCATAGAGGAGGCAATTTTTTTCAACATAGTTGATGGTTTCTCGGATAAAATCATAGAGGTATAGACAGTTCATTTCCTCAATTCATGATAAATCAATGAACATTTCGAACTGTTTCCCTCGACACGATTCCTAACTTTGGAAAAAAAAATGTTAATGAAATTTTTACATGTCTCAGAGGTAATGAAAATTACGTGCATTATTTCCGTAACGGTCTTTTGCTTCAAAATATCAAGCTAACGATTGAAATAGAAAATAACTCTACTCTACCTTTTCTTGGTGTCCTATAAATCAACTTTGAACAGAGTCAGCAGATAAAAGGTTAGTGAATCGGTAAGTTAGAATAGCGGCTTGTGTTTGCTAAAAAACATCGAACTGAACCGCTTGTATAAATGAAACGTCTCTGGTTTGTGATGCACGCTCTTTTCGCAGCTTTTAAATATCCTTGCTACAATGCACATGTTAATACAAAACAGAAAGATATATTCTTCCAGGAAAGCAGATCACGTTTATTCGTGTTGCATTATGGCCTTCTGATCGATTTTCATCGAGTTTCGGCTGCCATGCGGTAAGTTCATTAGCTAGTGTAAATATTCTATGCTCAGGCAGTTTGACGAATAGGACTAACCTTCCTTTCTTAATCGTCACAGCTACTCCCATCAGCTGTGCCTGGAACACAATAGTATCATTCCTCACGAATTTCTGACATTTAACCATCATAATGGGTCGCAGTCAACGCTATTGTACGCAAGTTCAACCGTTGTTCCTGCTCCTTCGTTAGAGCAACTGTTTCCCTGTCATACAGCAAAACTCACGTGACAGAGGCTAGATACCGGTAAATTTTGTGGAGAAGGACATTCTTTTCTCAGCTAAGATATTGGACGAATTTCGAAAAGCATCGGAGGTTATAGTGATCCTCCTATGTGTATTTGACTGTATGGCGCAATTGTTAAGGACAACGGAGTTGAGATACTTAAATCGATCAACCTCCTATGTCGTTTCACCATTCCGTCCCACCAAAAAATCAGCTTGCTAGATAGGATCTACGTAATTTTGATTTCTGGAAGTGAAGGAAATGATCAGCTTTCTCAGATGTGTTGCATCTAGAGGTTCAGTAAATGGTTAAAAAAGTTCACTCCCAGTATTACTCACCAGCGTAATAGCATCTCGTCAAGATACAGGGGCAACATGTCTGCGAGACTGGAAGAGGTGCATGACCACTCTGTTCGATGCGAGCATTTCATTCTGCTGCACTGTTTCTTGATCAAACTGATGATTTATTGCCTGTGTAATAGTCAGCACTAGGCGTAACCCAGATTTCAATTTCGAAAAGTCAACCTTTTGAATTATAAGATAGCCTAAACTGCAGTTTCATAGGTACGGCCCCTCGTGTACTGTCAAAGTGCTCACCCATTCTTCAGTTTTCAGATAAGCTATTCCTGGTCCAAAAGTCAAGTTTTTTTAAAATCATAGTAACAATGAAGTGGAGCTGCATATTCTGTGCATTGGATTAACTTGTGCTGTGATGTGGTGAAAATATACAGGTAAAAATGTCTAAACTGCAGGCTAAAGAAGCGCTGGCTTTCGAATTTGTGATAGCTTCTTCCACTTCTTGAAAGCAGCTGTTTGATGAAACAAGAATTTTTAGACTGAATTGTGCGTCGTCCAAATGATTCATGTTTCCCGAAAGTTTCATGGATGAGGTAGAACTGGTATGAAACTGGAGTTCACAAGCAATCTCCTCAAATAAACATGTATTTTTCATTTTTAATGAAAGGTCTTCAAGATAGGATGTCAAATGATACAACGGTATCAAACATAATGAAGCAACATAGCAAATAATTCTTATTCTTAGGCCGATATTGCGGATAGCACTGTCTCTCATTGTGGCACATGCAGTTCTGGTCATCCTAAACATCGCTGATAGGCAGGAAGATTTTTGACAAGTTTTGATGTGTACGAAAGAGACACGTTGAAAAAACCACCTGTTACAATACTACAAACAGCAGAAGTTGCATAAATTCCAGATACGGCATACCGACATCTGTACAAGTCGGAGTAACGCAAAACTATAGTTAATGAATGCGAGCGCATACTTGAATTATGCCATATGAAATATGCCATCAAAATTGGCGGTAAAGACACTAGAATATGCTTATTCTCGATAAATTCCGAAAAATTGACCGGAATGAGTAGGTACAACCTAACCAATCCCACTGCAAATGTTGATAGTAGCTCTCTCTTGGGGTAAAAAATGCCAAGATTTATGAATAGATGCAGGACTACGCCGTTACGCTATCTCTCGCGGAAGCTGGGAGGTCTTCTATATAAATGAGGAGCCCTAATAAAATAATCCGAATAAAACACCCATTAGGCGGTACACCGCCGCAAACGCAACTATGCCGACGACTGTATCCGAGAGTCCGGTTCGGCGAAAAAAACAGTGCAGTGCACAAGGCTCGTATAAGCAAATTGGTTTAGTGAAGTTAAGCAATAATGGAGCACAACATCATGAAGAACCAGGTCAATCACAGAAACTGCGTCAAATATTTCAAATAGGATATCTCTAGAGAGAGGAAGATTTTGGAGCAAGAGGAACGCATACATAAGAAGATGAACAGATAAGAAAACATTGCACCATTAACTTCAACTTGCTACAGCCCTGAGTGATCACAGCATCTAGCACGTATCTGCCTAACCCTTGTGATTAATTTGTTTAGTACTCATTATTTCGAAGATAATTTGCTTTCGTACGATGAATCATAACTATCTCTGTTATGCTGACAACCACAGACCACGAACATGGAAACCGCAAGACTCGTCATCCAAACGTGGAGCGCCTAGATAGAGTTTGACCTAACCTCTAAGTAGCTCATGGCCATGAAATAAACTATAGTTATGGATTATGCGCGGATTGGATAATTGCACCAAATCTTGAACTGCGTATGTACGGACCACTTTATTTTTGAAAATGAAAGAAAACTCAAACATGACACACGAGCATATAAGTCATGTCGTCAGAACTGATGCAAGGAATTTTGCTCATAGACAGAGCATTTTAAAGATCCACGTCCTGCAATAGAATACGAGCAAACTTGTTTTAAAAATGAAAACTGGTAAAAGAGAATTTGTTTTGGAGATATTACAACAGAATAAACGATTCGTAAATGTGCAAGAAGAAGCAAAATGACAGGCTCAAATATAGTTGGTCGCCCTTGTTATGCCGTAAAAATAATTAATGAATATGTGAACTTTTCTCGTCTCTTTGCAGTGTAATTTTACCACAATTTCATCCAAACCGTAGAGTTAGGCTATGGCACGCTCCAAATATAACTCTCAATCCAGGCAACAGGTGATGCTCAACATCAAAGCTGCGAATGCTTGATCTGCCCTCCTTAGAATTCAACCGTGGTCGCTCGCTCTTGCATTCTAAAACAAATTTATACATAAAAACCATTAATATTTAAGAACTTCAATTTAAAACTGTCTCAAAGGTCTCTGGCAAGTTGTTCAAGAAAATACGTACTACATTCCAAAAGTCAGACTGCAGAAACCGTATGAATCCGTTTGAAACTTATGTTTTTAAATGTCGCAATTACGACAGATTTAAAACGGCTTATTTAAGGTGCACATAGCATAAAATGTCTACCTTAAAGCTGAACAGTATTCATATTGTTGGATGCATGGATTTCATGAACTCTTTTCAAAAGTTTTAATACATATTTAGTGTTCTTTAAGACAGCAGAAGAGGACTAAATATGACACAACAGAAGAACACTGTTGCTCTAGAGTCGAATCTTTGAAGA